AACGATGTTTTTGTTTTATAAGTCTTCTTAAAAGGTTGAACTCCAACTTTAAGGGTCCCACACCGCCTCATCCGTGAAGTATCATGAAAGAGGTTAATCGCGAGATATGCCCCAACGGGCTAGCAAACAAGTGCTGTCTGTACATTAGTACTCACAAAGAGTCCTAATCCATGTTTCAGGAATCGAATTCTCACACTGCGCTGTCAGTAAGACCGAATATACATCATCCTTATCCTTTGCACCATTGAGATATGTCCTGAGGGGCTGTTTTATAGGTCTTCTTTATTTTACCTTTGGTCGATCCATTCTCATGCTATTTTCCAGATGCTTATTAGCCATTAGATTGACAAGCATGAGAAGTCAGCATTTCCCGTAGTCATAGAATCGACTTTGGTTTGTAAAAGCAAGAATTGAAATTGTTTTATAACTTTGAATGACATTGTGACATGATAAGTGTATTTTTGCACACTTATTTACATCACAGACATGACTTAAATACAAGTAAAATGATTGGATTGTTACGTAACTTTGTCAAATTCATGCAATGTAGGTGATTCTATGGAAATAGTGGAATTCAGGAGAAAAGGGCTGAAAAAGGACCAAATTGGAGCAAATTGAAAATTCAGGGACCAAATTGCAATTATCTGAAAGTTGACCCAATGAACACATCAAGCAATTGATCAAGCTAAGCACCAATTGGAATTTATAATGGAATATTGGAGCAATTAGAAACAAGAGAGGAGGTCAAGGAGTGAAGGAATGAAATTTGAGGATTAAAATGACTCAATTTAGACATTCACTCTACTATGCGGTCGCATAGTAGAAAACCTATGCGGTCGCGAGTAACCCTCCAGGGATTAAAAACGCCATATTTCATATACCTATGCGGTCGCATAGGTATAACCTGTGCTCGATTTTTGCAATTTCTTATACCTATGATCGATTTTTGCAATTTCCTTATATGAATGCAACTCCTTTGGTAACCTAATTTCGACGGGTTTAAATAGCAAATAAATATCCAGAAGCCGTACGAATGAATTGGGAGGCAAAAACATTCATTTTGGAGAGGATTTGAAGGCAAGAACAAGGATTGATGCGAAGATTTACAAGATNCCAATTTTATGGCAAGGCTGAGGAGAACCCTCACACACACATATCTCGATTTCTGGATATGTGTCAACATTTCAGATACCAAGGGATTTTGGATGACGCTATTAGGTTGAGGCTGTTTCCACATACGTTACGAGATAGAGCACTTGAATGGTTGGATTCACTCCCGATTGCATGTATCACTACATGGAATGAGTTAGCACACAAGTTCTGCACAAAGTTCTTCTTCCCAGCCAAGTTAGCAAAGTTGAGACCTGATATATCAGTATTCAATCAAGGAGAGAT